GTATAATACTGAGTGTTGCGTGTGGGACATCCAGGGTGATCCAGAGTGTGAACAGTGAGTTGTGTGGGCGCCCAGTCGCCATAGCCAGTTGAAGAGAACTCATATCTGGTTACGATATCTTGAGTATTGTGTGGGCGCATGTCGCCAGTTGCTGTTTCGCTGTTTGCATACATGACAAGTGTGAAGAAGTCGAGTATGATTGCAAATCTGAAGATGGTAGGTAGTATAGCAGCAGGCGTTTTTGGGTGAAGATGGAAGGTATTCAAACACACCTGTAGCCCAGCAGGCTGCCATCATCAGGGTTGTTCTCGACAATATGATATTTTCTTGTTGGGGTAAGTTCGGTTGTGTCACAAACAAGTTTGGAAAAGGCAACAAAATCACATGCCGGCAACAAACTCGTGCACCGAGTTTGAAAGGGCAACAATTTCAAAAGCATTTTTACCCAGGCACCAAGTTTGAAAAAGGCAACGAAGTTGAACAAACTCCTGGTGTGCCCAGTTTGAAAAGGGCAACAAAAAATCGCAAGCGGACCACAGCCATTTTTACCGATATGCTTGCTCTTTTCAAACTCCGCACCCGATGTTGTTGCCCCCACGCGTTTTCTTTCGCCCTTTCGAATCTGAAAGCGTGACGCTGCCGGACTTGTTTCTTTCTTGTTTTTTTTTTTTGTTGTTGTTGTTGTTGTTCCCTTCTGCCTCAGGAACTCTCTGGTAGTAGTGCAGCTTCGCTGTTCGTGCTCATGGCAGGAGAGCTTGGCGTTCTCTCTAGACCTCGGTCCGTCCGCAGATCTAAGGATGTGGACCTTGAGCCTTCTTCTATGAATGAATGGATGAGACAGTCGCGCCTGAGAACAGTCAGCAGCAGCAGCAGCCAGTATGCAGAAAACGACAACTGGGTTGCTGCTAAATGCCAGATGCAGGGAAATATTCAGACCTTTTTTTAAGGGTTTTTTTTTTTTTTTTTTGTGGGGGGGGAAACTTTGAACAGCCAATGAAGAATGAACGGATCCCGTCGCTTTTTTAACAAATGAATGATTGGCTCTTGCTTCGGGAGGAATCTGCCATCTGGTCAGTGGCTGTGCTCAGGAATCTGGTCAGTGGCGACGGTCAGGTGTGGAAACTGCGTTTGCACTGTCATTTCTCTTCTTTTTTCTGTTCTTTCCTTTTTGGGTGAAAGGGAGACGGCCTTGAGATATCGTCATTGAACTGACCGGCCCAAGGTAATCCAGGTTTATTTGATTTCAGTCATTTAGTTCCACCTGGTTACAGTTCCTGGCTGTACCACCGGAGCGAGGCACGTTGTGTTTTTTTGTTTGTGTGTGTGTGTGCGTGTAGTAGTGTAATAATACTGTATATGTCTGCATTCTGGAATGTTCAGACAGGCTGTGCTGCAGAGTGGGGGGAGAGAGAGAGAGAGACTCCTATCCAAGATGACTCCAAAAGTTTGAAAAGAAGCTCGCGAGTTGTTGAAAAGTACACTATCATGAGAACATCATAGACTACGTTATCTTTTGATTCATACGAGTCTCATGATCTCCGCTGTAAATCGCACTAGCCCTTGCATGTATTGCGGAATCATTTTGTACGGTTAAAACATGGCCCTTCCCGTTTATGACAGTGGAAAATGGGGACTAGCGAAGTGACAAGGGAAGGAGGGGGGATAAGTGGGATGACCCTGCATAGGTCCAGTAGTTCATTAATTCATTAATCACCCTTCCACTGTGTCTAACCTACGCAACGTAAGGTACGATGTACTATGTACTATGTAGTAATGCAACTAATAACTGGCATGATTCATTTGGTCACAGGGTGGGGTAGCAGTAGGTGGGGCTTTCCAATTTTTCGTCAGTGTGTGTGGCAGACATGATAAATGGGCTATGAAATTATTAATTTGTGTATATAGTTAATGGCCGTGTTATGGCCCAATAATAAAAATAATTGGTGATGTTATTGGCATGCATGCTACCGTCTGTGTTTGTAGGGCCGGTTCCACCTATTGTCTTTAAGTGAAAGCTTGCCAATCAGCATTTACGTATGGAAACGCTACCACACTTGGCGTGTGCAGCCTGAGATGCTGCGCTTAGGAGCTGTCATACAGCAGAAGGCATGGCGATAACGATGGTCGGTCTGGTAGCTGGCTTAGCGAGAGCACAGCAACAGATGCAATTGTCATCCTTCGTTCCGCAGTGCCAGTACGGCAATCTGGATTCGCTGATGCAGGCGTCGACGGCAAGTAGACAACAGTTAGTGCCACATAAGGACTTGCTTATGACAGTGGTTTATCATCCGACACACTTAGGAAGTCCTTCGCTCTCTGTAGGTGCTAGGGTACGATGGGGGCGTCATTGGGGGCAGCAGTGCTTGTGTGCTCAAAGACACGATCGTCGGCAGCAGTGCTTGTGTGCGCACAGACACGATCGTCGGCAGCAGTGCTTGTGTGCACACAGACACGGTCGGTACCCTGTATGGACCGATTTCGATCCAGATAGCAGCCATTCCCCATCAATGACGATGGCTATTTATGATCGGACTGTGGGGCTGAAACGATGCAGAAGAGGCTGTTGGCCCGGCGGTCTGCCGACTGCTGCATGCATTGGTGTTGCTGTGCCTAGCGGTTTACGAGCAAGGAAGGTGTGTTTGTTCCACCGTCAGAATTTGCTCGTGTCCTCCCCCGCAAAGCAGGCGTATCTACCTAATGGTGTGATAGTGAGAGCTAGTGTTGGAGGCAGGGGACCGGAACTCCAGGAAACCGAGATTGTTATTTCGGAGACACGCCTAGGAGAAGAACTGCCTTATTCTGTGAAACGCAAGTGCTCAGTACGCCAAGGCCTAGATGGTCTACTCCAATTTGAGGAGATTGTTGACGTAAAGAAAGGAGAGGAGGAGAAAGGACTCGTAGGAACACAGAGGGGAAGAAGTAGGGAAGGGTTGGAGGGTGATGAGGGTGATGTGCCGGAGTGTGCGCAGGGCAAAAACTCCTCATCTGCTAGATCTCTTTCCGTCGACTCATCCTCAACCCTTCTGTCCGCCGCCATGCGTTTGCCGAGCAGTGTGCGGAATTTTCTGCTGCCCTCGTCGTTTCCCGATTCTGTGACCGATGATTACCTGACTTTCATGGTCTGGACCTTCCCAACTCATGTCACCGGTTGGGCTGCCCACGTTCTCGTCACTTCCAGCCTCTTTAAGGCGGTTGGGATTGGGACAGGCTCCACTTCAGGAGCTGCAGCTGCTACTGCAGCTATAAAGTGGGTGACGAAGGATGGACTAGGTGCGATAGGGAGGCTGCTGATTGGTGGACGGTTCGGGGTACTCTTCGATGATGATCCAAAGCAATGGAGGATGTTTGCAGAGTTTGTCGCACTGGTCGGGAACGTCCTTGAGCTGGCAACTCCTCTCTCTCCTAACAATTTTCTCGTTCTGGCGGCTTCGGGACATCTCCTGAAGGCAGTCGCGAGGGGACTGCGGGACCCTAGCTTCCGTGTCATTCAAAACCACTTTGCGAAAAGAAACAACGTAGGCGAGATAGCAGCAAAGGAGGAGGTGTGGGAGGTAGGGGCAGAGATCGTAGGGCTTACCCTCGGAGTGCTGCTGCTTAATACGCCAGGCGTTGCCTCCTCGTACTGGGAGCTTGCAGCAACCTGGGCTGCAATTGCCGCTATACATCTCGTGCTGCGCTACAAGTCTCTGGAGTGTCTCTACTTCCCGTATATTAATCGAAAGCGGGCGTCCATTATGGTGTCACAGCACTTGAAGGACGGGCGGGTACTGAGTCCAAAAGAGTGTAGCGCCGTTGAAAACTTTTTGGTACCCCTGAAATACTCTTCCATAGGAATGCCATATGCAAAGATTGGAAGCAACATCGACGAGCTCGTTGATGCGATCAATAGCGGCGCCGTTGGTGGGTCGCTGCTCGATCTGCTGAAACTTTACTCGAACGAAAGGTACATTTTAGTGTATTCCAAGAAAAAATCTCCCGAGCAGAGCGGTGAAAGCACATACCTGGTGGCACTGAAGGAAGAGGCGAGCGAGGTGGATATTTTTCGAAGCCTTTGGCAGGTTGCCTGGCTTGCCAAACATCTTGGCGTGTCAGTGCAGCACGTCCGTCATGATGATGGTGCCTTGACGGCAGTGAGTTCCCCTGCCAAACTCGTTGGCAGCAACTTGAGATACCAAAGCAAGCACAAGGTGAGCAGCGGGAGGCATAACGACGTTAACGAATCGCTAGTGATTTTGAGAGCATCACTGGAAGCACTTGAAGAGTCGTGGGATGAATTCATGAAGGGCGTGGAGAAGCATGGGTGGTCCCTAGATCGAATGTTCTTAACTCCGCCTAGCGGGTCACCCATTCTGTCAGTCGACATTCGTTCTCACCAGTAACTACAGATGGCATCATTTTTTTTTTTTTTTTTTTTTTTAAGGCCCAGGCAGGTCTGCTAGRGRGGGGGGGGGGGGRGGKGGGGGTGATAAGAGCAGCCTCCCCTAGTAGGCCCATTCCTGGCTGTTCCGTCTCTTGATAGCTAGCCCTTCCGAAACTTTTTAGGTGTTATATACAGGCTGTTAGCTCTTTTTTCCGAAACCCTCAGGAAAGAGGCGCTGTCGAGCAGGCTTCAGTTGAGAAGCTCGGAAAGAGTGGCGGATACAATGTATAGCTTGTTTTGTCTTATTAACTCTTGTTTATTTAATTGTTAAATTATTGTTTATGTTTTAAATAGGTGTCACTGTGTTAGTATTGTGAAATCACCCCGAGCTTCAATTGGCGTGTTCGTTTGCGCACAGGGAGGCCATCGTGAGGGGTAGTAACAGGCTTGGCCAAAGTTCAGCATAGCGAGATGGTTGGAAGGTACTCCCACATTTTCAACGAAAAAAAAAATGGGTGAGGCCTTCCGTTAGCAAACAAACATCCCCACAAGTAATGGCCTAGAGCTAGAGGGGGCTTGGAACATTGACAACCTGCAATGGAGCCATGGAATCTCAGCCTATAATCCGCGAATACATCCTTTAAATTCCTTTTGTACTATTCCAGTAAACTTAGATACCATTTCAGCCTACCTTTATGGCCTGCAAATTGCAAATCCAAAATGTGAGATGAGAAGCATCACACTGATGTCAACTTTTTTTTTCTGTTTTTGTTTTTTTAGAGAGAGAGAGAGAGAGAGAAAGAGTGCAACTGAGAGAATCAACAAGATGAACCACTCATCCCATCTCATCTAATCTGTCATCTCATCTGCAAAATTGCAAAATTGCAAAAAAAAGCCAGCAGCCTTCACATCTTCTCACTCTTCTTAAGCAGTTGCAGCAGTTGAGTTTTTTTGCAGCAGTTAAGTGAATCTGCACATCTAGCTCCCTCACAGCTAAGGTTAAAGGATGGCGCTACCCAGCCCAACATGAGCCCGACGTCCTCCACCGTGCAAGCACGAATTCGAACCGGCGACCTCGGCCTCAAGAGCCGGGTATAGTAACCACTACAGCCAGGACACGGTGTTCAAAAGTGGAACAGCACAGCATCAGGCACCCTTTTTTTTTTCTTTTTTTTGTAAATAAAGGCCGATGGCCTTGAGGTATCATCATTGAACTGATTGGCTGTAGGCAATTCATCAATTATCTTATTTTGTTAATCCAGCTACATCGGGGTTCGAACTTGGGTCTGTATTTCAACAGTTCAGTTTAGGGGTGTAGTACCAACCGAGCTACCCCAGTTGGTAGGCACCGCATTTGAAATCTGTTCAACTCCCCCCCCTCCACCACCACATGTGGTTAACAGGGAACCCCGGTTTCAGCTCATGACTAACAGGTCCAAAACTGCAATTAGGCTTTGGGCCCTCGGGGTTCAAATTTTATGTTTTTTTTTCCTTTTTTGTTTTTGCCTGTTTCTGTTTTGGTTCAAGGTGGTTGTGCACTAAATTTGGTCTCATTTGTAGCATTGGAATTTCCTCTGCTAAGATTTCTGAAACTGAATGTTCGTGAAATTTGCATGGAAGTGCACTTTTGCATTGCTGTTTTATAGGTTTTCATTTATTTATTTTTTCGGTGTTTGTTTTGCAGTTAGTAACTATGGTATCTACTCTATGACTTGGTGGCAAGTTTCGTTAAAATGACCAGTGGATTTTGTTATAAATGGCATGACAAGTTGTCCGAAAATTAGGGCCTCTGTTAACCGCCTCTCCCCCCCCCCCCCCCAAAAAAAAAAAAAAAAAAAAAGATAATAATAATAATAATGATGCAGGGAACCTAAAAGGAAGTAAAAAGAGTAATCCAGCGGCCCAGCTCAGTTGATAAGGCTCGCTAGTGGCATTCAGGAGGGTGTGGGTTCAATCCCAATTGGCCCCATGTACCTTCCTGGGCATGGTTGGCGCCCGCCACCTTGAGATAGACCACTGGATCCCCGATCGGCATTGAGCAGAGTCTGTTGATGTGCGTAGGGGAGGGGATCTGAGGGGAGGCACACCGATTGGTCCTGTTGGCATGGTCCCTGATGCTACCGGCTGTCCCCTGGCCCGTGTCGCCCACCTGCAGGTCGGCAGCATCCTCCGAGTGTTCTCTCGTGAACACGGTTCTGGCTGCTACAGGGTTCCCCATATGACTCTAATAAGTATTAGTGGTAGGTAGGTAGTGTGAGGTGGAATTCAGAGAAGAATGTAGCTCACAAAAAAAAGACAAAAAAAACAAAAAAAAAAGAAAGAAAGAAAGAAAACAAGTATACACTTGTCATTCATCGGGCCCTGACCCTGACGTGTCCTGCTTGCCACTGCTGGTCACTGTTCTGAAGTTTCTGCAGAAACTGCAGAACCGTGCAGAGGGGGGAGAAAAGTGAATAGGGGGATGTGCAACTGTGAAGGCCGCAAGGGGGGAAAGTTTTCAAGGGGGTCCTGTCTAGGACTCTAGGCCTTGTTTGCATTATAGGATGTGCAACTATGCAGCACCTGGTTTGCAGCAGGCGCTGCTCCCCACCCATCTTTTTTCTCAGCCAATTCGAGCCAAAGATGGGTAATGGGCCACTATGGCCCCGTATGAAATTCATACCGGACGCTGGGCCCAGTTCTCAGCATCTGCTGCTCCACACGAATATGGGAGCTTTGTTTTGTTTAAAAGGGCCTTTACCCGATATAGGCCTCAGGCCTTGTATAAATAAAGCAGCACGGGCCTTGAAAAAGTAAAGCATTGTGAAAAGGTATCTCGCCAGGGCTCAGAAACGTGAAAGCAGGTCAAAGGTCAAGTTCCCTATCAACAGGCACATCTAAATCTAAAGCAAAGGGCATTGTCAAAAGACTTACCTGTTCACCAGGAGATGTGTATGTCATGTCTGTTCGGGTAAGAGTGTGTCTGTACGTGCAGACAGTGTACCTGTTCGTGCAAAGGAAAGTGTCTGTTCAGGAAGTAAATGCGTCTGTTCGTTTAGAGTTGTGCCTGTCCGAAAGCAAAGTCAATAGGCACAGTCCCAGTTCTGGTCTGAGTCAAGGGGTCAGTCCAGATCCAGACTTTAAAGTCCAAATCTAGGCCGAGAGGCCTCAGCAGCAGTCGAACCTCATTGGGACTACACTGGGACACATGCAATGCAGGGTCTGGGACAAAGGATAGGCTGAATTGAGCCAATGCAGACCCAGCGAGGAGTGGCCAGCACTATAAAGAAAGCTGCCAGCCTCATTCCTCGCCAGATCTCCACTGGCTATCAGTTTGTGGAAGTGCTGGTGCACTTGTGCGTTGAGTCAGGAGGAGCAGCACTGGAGGATGAAGATGCGCTGAATGGAGGAAGAAGACTGTACGCTGAACAGGACGCAGCCATAGCTGCCCAGCGAGTTAGCATTAGTAGTAGAGGGTTAGTGTGTAGCTATGAGTAGTATTCAGAGTAGATCCTCATGAGTAGAGAATGTGTATGCATCGTAAGAGGAAGGGACTGAGATATAGAGTGTTCATTCGAGGTTTGGCTATGGGAGACACTTACCTGAGTTGGTTGTGAACTGCAGAGGTGGCGCCGACGAGTTGTGACCATATTGATGACTGGGAGACAATCTGCAGGGGTAGTGCTGATGCCTTGGAAGTCATACTGATGAGTTGAACAGAGATTTGTATTGCGTTATGAGCGCTGGACTCGGGGGAACTTTGAAACACTTTGTAATCATATTTCTGATAATATAAGCTGTGAAACTCGGTCCTCTTCTTCTCTACCTTTGTCTATGGTTGAGACTATTGATCACTGCGTGTGAAGATGATGCATGACATGTACACATCTGCGTGAGATGGTCCCCAGGACCCATGCATGTTAAAAAAAAAGAAGGGCAACTATGAAGGCGGTCAATGGGGAACAGTTTCCAAGGAGGTCCTGTCTGGTGTTTGAACAGCGATTCTCAGTGTGTACGGTCGGCGACTCCTACTACCAATGGGCATCAAGTCAACAGTGACAGCCAATCATGCATGAAGCCCACACCACACCATGCATTCAGGAGAACAGTCGACAGCAACCACACAGAAAAGAAATGAGATGGTACGCAGAAAGAGCGGAGGACAAAGGAGATGAAGAAGAACGGAGATTACGCAAAGACGAAAAATAAGTCTCCCGAACACGTTGAAAAAAGCGTTGAAACTCCTGGCGGCATGGACACTACTAGTTTCAGCGGGCCGCCACCGGCACTCATCAGGGGTCTTCTGTCGCTGAAGGTACTGACCGAAAGGCGATCAACCTATTTATATTTTGCGTAGTCGCCTAGATTTAACCTACGACACATCAAGATAGCCGCAGGTCTCAGGAAAGTACCGACAATCGGACGTCGGCAATTCATCAATCTAACTGCCGCCGCACAAGGGGTTGAACCCCGTACCTCACGCAGAATTATAACTGCCGGTCACCATTGGGCCACTCGCCCATTCTCATACGACCAGATTCAGAGAACATACTATCTTAACCTGCAACTTCTTCAATTCGGCACGTCCGTCAAGAACAATCCTCCGACCTATGGGACTAGGCCCATTCGATCTTTCGTATGTCGAGACTTTGGGTCTCATTAGACACTCCTAAGGGAATCCTAAAATTTTTAGGACGTGTTCCGCACTGTCGTGTGGCGTTTTCTGGCGGCAGACCCCGCGATGGTGGATTAAAAGACGAACTGGCAGAACATGGGAGGACCTCCGACTATGTGATGACGCCACTGAGGACTACTACCGCCAGAAGTTGCACATGTCGAGGGCCATGTTCACCGAGATCGTAGCCGCGTGCGCCGCGTACGTGGAGAAGAAGGTTACACACTACAGGATGCCATTGCTTGTGGAGCAGGTGATCACTTTCCCGTTGTATAGGTGGGTGTAGTGCGAATGCGCGCACATGCGCACGGGGGCATCGATCGGGATCGGGACTCGCACAGCTGCTCGCACACACGCACGGGCCTGTGCGATCGGGATAGGCCCATGCGGCTACACACACCCCCGCACGGGGGCGCGCGATCGGGATCGGGACTCGCACGGCTGCGTGCACACGCACATGGGCGAGCACGGTAGGGATAGGCCCTRCGTGGCTACACACACACGCGCATGGGGGCGCACGATCGGGATTGGCACTCGCGCGACTGCGCGCACGCGACTACACGCATACGTGCACGGGCGCGCGCGATCGGGATCGGGACTCACGCRGCTGCGCGCACACACGCACGGGCGCACGTGATCGGGATAGCCCCACCCGGCTACACACACACCCGCATGGGATCCGCGATTGGGATCGGGACTAGCGCGACTGCGCACACACGCGCACGGGGGCACTGATCGGGATCGAGATCCGCTCGGGTGCGCGCGCGCTCGCATGGGCTCTTTCAATCGGGACTGAGGTGGACGATCGGCAGAAAGGGCCCTCGAACAGTCGGGACTCTAGATGGAAAGGACCTGGGGCACAACTGGGACTTCGACTAAACCGGGACTTTGACGAGGCAG